GAGGGGGGAGGTCCTAGAAAGTTTTTCCTTATTTCTGACTTACATGGCAATATCTGCAGGAAATACTTGGAAGAGGCTTGTGTATGGATCGAGTCGAACACAACTACTCTTAGCATACTGTCTTCACAGGCTGAGATTGGGCTTGGATTTCTTCTAGTTGTGTCCCTCTTATCGTTAGTATCAGAGCTCATTTTCTTACACCAAGTTTCTGTAACTGATGCTGGTACTTGTTATTCTCATTGTTCTTTCCATTTTCTGCATTTAATTCTCCACATCCTAAAAAATGCAGGTGGCAGCGTAACATAATACAAGCTTTCATGTATTGGCAGGTATGTGTCATTCTGTCATTTTCATTGAAGTACTTCAGCTTCTTTTTCCTTGTAAATTCTAAATGAGTGAACTCTAAAAGTTCTAGTAGCTTCAGCTTCTTGCTCCGTAAAATTCCATCAAGTTACATCTCGTGTTCCATCATGTCAGTCAGTACATTACATTACGTCAGGCCACTACTATCACTAACTCTCATTGACGCGTATTCAACTCATGTGCAGCTATTGAAGCTTATGTATCAAGCTCCTGCTACTGCTGGTTACCATCAGAACATGTGGGCTAAGATCGGGAGGCATGTAAATCCTCTGATTCAAAGATATGCTCCATTCATGCATACTCCTATCTCTACTATTCAGAGATGGTGGTTCAGGTAAAACGGTAGAACACAGCAGCAAGACATAGGACACAATTCATGACAACTAGGTCGGAAGTACTATTTTAGATTTCTACTTTATTCTGGAGGACGAGTATCAACTAGACCTTTACTTTTAACTTTTATAAAAATATTAGTTAGTAATTGTCTTCCGAAGCAAGACCTTGTAATAACCTTCGGGGCCACTGCCAATTTTCAACATAAATTAGCTCACCTTGCCAGAATGTAATCTATATGTTGAAGAATGATTCACTGATAACGGGCTTGAAGGGTCTTCTGAGAAGACAGGTGATTGGGGTGGTTTTACAGAGTTTCACAACCTAAAGTTAAATAAGAATAGCATATTGTAACTAATGTATTAGAGTTAGATTGACTCACGTATAACTATTTGACATTTTTGTTTCACTTATTTACCTTTTTTTTTAAAATTAATGTTATATTAGTTCTTGTAAAACTAAATAAAAGTGACATTCTAATAGCCAAATAAACCAGGTCGCTTGTACCATCCCTATTTAAAATATATTTAGTTTTTAAAAACTATTCTCAAAGTTTAGTTTGTTTGGGCAAACTTCATACTCCTCTGATCAGGTCTAGGTCTGAAGATTGAAAAGCGAAAATTCAAATTAAGAACCTATGAGTCTGAAGTTGGGTACCATCAAAGCCTAACTTAATTTGAACTTCATTTAAATTGGTATGAAGTTAGGCTTTGGCAGTACCCAGTTTTAGGCCTGTAGATTTTATTTGAAAACTTCGAACCTGTGATTTCAACTTTGTACCTGTATGTCTGAAATTGATTCTGAGGTGGTCAATTCTTAAAACTTTTTTAAGTTTTGACTTTTTCCAAAATAGGGTCCTAAAACCGACTTCGTGCACTTTGCCCATATGATAGTAAAATAAAAAAAAGGAATTTTTACCTTAATCAACACTATCCAAGCGTATTCTCACAATATCTGAGAATACACCCCTCAAGTTGATTACTAGAGGTATACCTACTAAAATTCTCACTTTCGATGGGTCTTCTTTCTCCTTGCAAATCACTCAAGGGGAATTGGATGCAGGTTTAGCCAAAAATATGGCATTGGAGAAGAGAACAAAATCTCGACATGACAATTTCAAAGAAACCCAAGTCGAGAAATCATTGAAGGAAACAAGACTTCCCATTGCGGAAAAGAGGAAAAAACATATTTCTGAAGCTTCATCTGTCAAGGGGAAGGAGGTTGAAGCAAGTAAAAGCTCGGATACACTAGAAGAAAAGGTAATTTCTGATGTATTCATCTGTATTATTGATGTATTCACTTGTATTTATATGTATAAACCTGTTGAATTCTCTGTTCAAAAGGGATATTCAATGTATTTTTGTACTTATAGAAATCGATGATACAGATATGTATATGTATTCTGATATATTCTTCTAGTTGTATTTATAAGGATTTTCAAAGTTCCCATCACTGTTTTATTCTAATTGCAATGTCTTTATTTGTTGTATGCGTATGTATTATATTAGTACATATATTTCTATCACTGATATCTTACTCCAGTTTATTTTTCCAGTATGTATTTAGTTGTATTCATGCCAATTGTACTATGAAATATGTGTTGTATTCAGTTGTATTTATATGTATTTATTCTTGTTAAATGCAGGGAATTAAGCTGTTTGTGAAAAAACAGCCTATATTTGCACCACATATCAATGTATATACTAACACTGACATAGTCTCCGAGCTAAACGAAAATCTTACTCCAGAGCAGTACAAACAACTGGGTGATACTTGTTTTGGAAATTTTCTTCAAATAAAGCGGTGTGAAGTCCAACATCAACTCTTCAGATGCTTCATGGCTCTCCAGTTAGAAGGAAGTACTGACAATGTATTTGTAATACACGCCAATGGTACTTCATTATCTTTCTCAATAAGGGAGTTTGCGTTTGTGTTGGTAACCTTGCTGATTTTGAGTTCAATGAAAAGGTTCCTAACCAGATTATTGAGACTTACTTTGGAGGTGTCAATCTTATCAAAAAGAAAAATTTGATGGAATGTTTTGCTGACAAGAATTGGGGTCACGACAATGATGGGGATGCCTTGAAGATAGTTGTGTTGTATTTCATACACTCCTTCATTTTTTCATCCGAGAAGAACAACACAACCATCCCAAGGCTACATTTTGACTTGGTAGAGAGTGAGCGTTATTCTGAATATCCATGGGGTTTAAAAGCATTTGAAAGCCTGATAAAATCTATTAGCAAGAAGATGGATGCTCAGAAGAAGTACTACAGGATAGCTGGGATGCCCCTAGCAATGTAAGTGTGGTTTTATGAGTGTTGTTCAAATGTTGATCCCAAAATTGCACTCCGAGTTGATAACGTGGTCCCCAGAATACTCAGTTGGAGAACCACCGGAAATCAGCGAAACTTTGCTTATCTGATGAACGACATGTTCAATAACAAAGGGAACATGGTAATTTACAATTTGTATCGTGGCTAGTTTACATTTTACTAATCATTAATGTTGCATACATTTGCATACAATTATTGCTGCATACAGTTGAATACAGTTGTTGTTGCCTTCATTATTACTGCTGCATACAATTGCATATAACTTACTNATTGTCCTTTAATTGGAAAAACTCCCTACGCACCTCGCGGTGCGGAAAAAGGAGGTGTGACAATTACTGCCGCCTTCATTTGAATACAAATTACAGTTTGATTCCAGATTTGCATACATCCATTGTAGTAAGACTTTGATTGTATTTCGTTTTTCAGATTGTTTACAAGGACATCCATCCAACCGATATAGAGCTTGCCGTTATTCAGATTCCTCCAGTAGGCGTTGTTGTTGAGAACAGTCCTACTCCTACTCCTCCAGTAGGCGTTGTTGTTGAGAACAGTCCTACTCCTACTCATTCAAACAAGTCGGCAGAGGATTCAGATGACTTTTCTCCTACACATGATCTTCAGTGTAAGATGAAACATGCTACAAGTGTTGGTCCATCTTCATCACCGCCCATAAAAAGCGCAAGGAACAAATTATTCATCCCTCAAATACAGAGAATCAATTCAAGATTCCTCCTGTTGGTGTATCTGAAATTGCAAAAAATGTTTTGCTTCACAATCAGCTGGCAGATTCCAAAAATGATGAAGTATCTTCTTTGAGGAAAGACCTAAATTTATTCAAAGAATACGTGAGTTTTTTATCCACACATTACGCATTACAGTTTAGTGCTTAACATTCATATATTTTTGGCGCACTTTTCTAATTATTTCTGTCTTGCTAAGGTTGTGTGTGAGTTTAAGTCTCTTAGATCATTGATCAATGATAACTTTAAGATGCTTTCTGACCATCTTCAAGACAATCAGCAAAAAGAAAGCTCACACCAGAGAAATGAAACCACAGGGAGTCGTGATGATGGTATTGAAATGCCATATGATTCCAACTTGCAAGATATTTCAAAAGGTCACAGACAGACTGATACAGTTGTTGGGGATAATGTTGAGGTTTAACATTTTTTAACATCTTTAGCATATGTTTATATCTCATGTTTGCTCTTATTCGGATTAATCATATATAAAACAATTTTGTAACATTGTGAAATACAAGTATATACAGAATAACTCAGTATTTTAATTATCTTAATCCTATATGCATTTGTATTTTCCTGACTTTATTTCTACATAATTATTGTGCTCTTCTCATGTTGTATTTACATGTATTCACATATATATTACAACATGATACATGTATACATTTAAGCTGTATTTTGCTGTATTCAGATGTATTTTAAATGGTATCATTATTCTTAAATAACTATTGTATTTTACTGTATTCAGATGCATTTTAAAAGTTCTCAGTAATTGTAACTAACAGATGTATATCAGTACTATGTATTTAACTGCCTCATTATTCTTGAATAACAACATGTATTTAAATGTTTCAGATCTATTCTAACACTACTATGTAGTTGTAATTTAAAGATGTATTTAACTGAATCTGTATGATGTATTTAATCGCCTCATTATTTTTGAATAGTTGTTGTATTTAATTGTATTCAGCTGTATTTTAATGTATTCATATGTATTATTCTTGAATCTGTGTGATGTATTTAACTGTGTTTTCACTTATCATATTTAGTTTCTATATTGTATATGTATTTAACTGTATTCATACAGTCAGTTACTACACTAACAATGATGCATACGTCTAACAGAATACAGTGGTTAATGCTCTTTGTGTGGAGTCAAGAGTGGAGGGGAATACTACATCAGAGGTGTCGTGCAACATACCACCTATAGGCCAAGAGGGTATATCTACAGATTACTGTGTATCTCAATTTGAGCTGGACGACAAGTTTCTTCCCAGTCAAATTCCAGAAACTAGAATTGTGATACACAACAACGCAAAAAAAGTTGAATCAAACCCAGTACCATCTCATAGGAATCAGCGACCAAGTAGATGGTATTCTATGTCTTACGAGTCTAACTTTGATTCCGCAGGTTAGTGTTTTATAAACTAATGATCTATTTCCCCATGATTTTTATAATTAAAAGTCTCTATTCATGAATTCAATGAACAACTGGTACCTCAGTAAAGTTGACCCCCATTTTTAAAAAAGACACCCCTTTGAGGATGATTCAATAACTGGGCCACATCCTACATTAGGCATTCAGGAATACGACAAATGGGTTCGTGATGGTCTTCTCGCTAGACATGAACAAAAGTGAGTTTTTCCCCCGTATGTCTATTACATATTTATATTTTTAAAAATGGATAATATATTTTTTATATCATAGTTGTAGAAGTAATTTGGAAGACCATTACAAGAAGAACAAGTCAACACTTCATATACCATTGGATTTTGGAGTTGATCAAGTAAATTCAAAAAATTGGTTTTACCTTCTATCGTTTGACGGTAAACTATGGGATGGCAATGTAAGTTTTACCCCTTCGAACTCCGCTATAATTCATTTCTTTAATATTTGTTTGTCTAATTGTATAACTCACAAATTGAGCTCACACAAATTTGTCTTACATTACTTTTATGTATTCAATTATACTCAGATGTATCTTTTACATTTGATGTATTTAGTTGTATTCTGATGTATTTTAACATTACTCGGTAGTTGTAAATAACAATTGTATTTAACTGAATCTGTATGATGTATTTAATGGCATCATTATTCTTAAATAACTGCTGTATTTTACTGTATTCACATATATTTTAAAAGTTCTCTGTAATTGTAATCAACAGATGTATATCAGTACTATGTATCTAATTGCCTCATTAGTCTTGAATAACAACATGTATTTAGATGTATTTTAAAATTATTCTGTAGTTGTAAATAACAGATGTATTTAACTGAATCTGTATGATGTATTTAATGGCCTCATTATTTTTGAATAACTACTGTATTTAACTGTATTCAAATGTATTTTAATGTATTCAGATGTATTATTCTTGAATTTGGAACTGAGTTTTCACTTATCATATTCAATTTCTTTTTCTTAATTTGATTCATTGCACTAACACTATGTAATTAAATTTGTGTATAGCATATTGACGTCATATTCTACTATCTAAGAAAGAAGGGAAAGTACAACCAAACAAGCAACTTTAAGTATACAATTGTTGATTGTATATTCAAGACAAGAATCGCAGAAATCTTCGACAGGTATGCTGTAATTTATGCGATTCTTGTCTTGAATATACAATCAACAGTTGTATACTTGAAGTTGCTTGTTTGGTTGTACTTTCCCTTCTTTCTCAGATAGTAGAATATGATGTCAATATGCTATACACAAATTTAATTACATAGTATTAGTACAATGAATCAAATTAAGAAAAAGAAACTGAATATGATAAGTGAAAACTCAGTTCCAGATTCAAGAATAATACATATGAATACATTAAAATACATTTGAATACAGTTAAATACAACAGTTATTCAAAAATAATGAGGCTATTAAATACATCATACAGATTCAGTTAAATACATCTGTTATTTACAACTACAGAATAATTTTAAAATACATTTAAATACATGTTATTATTCAAGACTAATGAGGCAATTAGATACATAGTAATGATATACATATGTTGATTACAATTACAGAGAACTTTTAAAATATATGTGAATACAGTAAAATACAACAGTTATTTAAGAATAATGATGCCATTAAATACATCATACAGATTCAGTTAAATACATTTGTTATTTACAACTACCGAGTAATGTTAAAATAGATCAGAATACAACTAAATACAGCAAATGTAAAAGATACATCTGAGTATAATTGAATACATAAAAGTAATGTAAGACAAATTTGTGTGAGCTCAATTTGTGAATTATACAATTAGACAAACCAATACTAAAGAAATGAATTACAGTGGAGTTCGAAAGGGTAAAACTTACATTGTCATCCCATAGTTTACCGTCAAACGATAGAAGGTAAAACCAATTTTTTGAATTTACTTGATCAACTCCAAAATCCAATGGTATATGAAGTGTTGACTTGTTCTTCTTGTAATGGTCTTCCAAATTACTTCTACAAGTATGATATAAAAAACATTATATCCATTTTTAAAAATATAAATACGTAATAGACATACGGGGGAAAAACTCACTTCTGTTCATGTCTAGCGAGAAGATCATCACGAACCCATTTGTCGTATTCCTGAATGACTAATGTAGGATGTGGCCCAGTTATTGAATCATCCTCAAAGGGGTGTCTTTTTTCAAAAATAGGGGTCAACTTTACTGAGGTACCAGTTGTTCATTGAATTCATGAATAAAGACTTTTAATTATAAAACACTAACCTGCGGAGTCGAAGTTAGACTCGTAAGGCATAGAATACCATCTACTTGGTCGCCGGTTCCTATGAGATGGTACTGGGGTTGATTCAACTTTTTTTGCACTATTGTGTATCACAATTCTAGTTTCTGGAATTTGACTGGGAAGAAACTTGTCGTCCAGCTCAAATTGAGATACACAGTAATCTGTAGATACACCCTCTTGGCCTATAGGTGGTATGTTGCACGACACCTCTGATGTAGTATTCCCCTCCACACAAAGAGCATTAACCACTGTATTCTGTTAGACGTATGCATCATTGTTAGTGTAGTAACTGACTGTATGAATACAGTTAAATACATATACAATATAGAAACTAAATATGATAAGTGAAAACACAGTTAAATACATCACACAGATTCAAGAATAATACATATGAATACATTAAAATACAGCTGAATACAATTAAATACAACAGTTATTCAAAAATAATGAGGCGATTAAATACATCATACAGATTCAGTTAAATACATCTTTAATTTACAACTATATAGTGATGTTAAAATACATCTGAAAAACATATAAATACATGTTGTTATTCAAGACTAATGAGGCAATTAAATACATAGTACTGATATACATCTGTTAGTTACAATTACTGAGAACTTTTAAAATACATCTAAATACAGTAAAATATAGCAATTATTTAATAATAATGATGCCATTTAAAATACATCTGAATACAGTAAAATACAGCTTAAATGTATACAAGTATCATGTTATAATA